GGGGGGGAGAGATGTTATATTTAGTAGATATTCCATGTCCATGTGTAAAGGATGAAAAGATTTCTATAGGGATAGTATTTCTATAGTGCAGGATTCCGTAACGTTTCCCGTTTTCCCTCTGTAACATGGAAACATCACATTGTGCAGCACTTTCTCCATTTAAATTACAGGAAGTGTTTTTAAACCTACTGAATTACTGTGTTGGATTTCTCTGCTAATACAAGCTGTCTCTCTGATTTCAGTAACTGCCTCGGTGTCCGTGTAACCACCCGCTGCCTGCAGCCTATCTGCCAGCACCATGCTGTTCTCGCTGCGTGAGTTGGTGCAATGGTTGGGATTCGCCCAGTTTGAAATTTTCATTCATGTTTCGTCTCTGCTCATATTCTCTGTGCTGGTGGCTCTCAAAGTGGACGGAGTGGCCCAGGCCCTCAGCTGGTGGAACGTGTTCATCCCATTGTTTGCTGCCGATGGGCTCAGCACCTATTTTACTACTATAGTGACAGTGCGACTCTTCCAGGAGGACAAGCGTCAAGCCGTGCTGCGCCTCTTCTGGATTCTCACCATACTCAGCCTTAAATTTGTCTTCGAGATGCTTCTCTGTCAGAAACTAGTGGGAAACACCAAGGAGCTGTGGTACGGACTCATCCTGTCTCCTATATTCATTCTGCTTCAGCTCCTGATGATCCGGGCTTGCAGAGTGAACTAAGCCTGGATCATGATCAGTTCCACCGTCTTCATTGAACTCCATATCCTGCCTGCTTATTTATTAAAGCTTTATTCAATGGCCCACAATGATTTGTTATTGTTTAGAACGCGATGTAACTGATCCCAATGAATTGTTAAGTTATGTGTTCTCTTCGGTGAGTGGGTGGCTGGTTAAACAAGCTTTATGCTATTTGGAGTTGTATTCAAACTGAAGGGACATGCTTATTTTTATACAAAGTTATTTTACACTCCATCCGTTTCCCTGTTACTTATAGGCTCACCCATGATATGTTATCCCCAGTAGGTTGCATTTTACCTCAACATGAGATCTGTGTGTAAATCAAACTACAAGATGGAAGGATTTTATATTACATGGTTTTGAATGGCTTTAGGGGATCCTAGATCTTGGGAGTTTCACACAGCTAGAGTAGGGCAGGCACATATTTGACCTTCGCTTGTCTTTGACCTTTTGGCTTTTTTCTTACCTTTATTCTGTAACCCTAACCTCGGCTTGTCTTGTACTATTCTTGGTGCGTTTAAAGAGACTCTCCAGTGCCAGGAAAACCCTCTCCCTCCCACCACCCATCCGCGGTTGCTGAAGGGGTGAAAAACCCTTCAATTACTTACCTGAGACCCCCTGCTGTCCTTCGGCGGTGGTTTCGGGTCACTGCCGCGCCTCCTCCTAATTAAGTCAGCCAGCTGAGGAGACCTAATGCTGGGCAATGCCGCTCATCCGCATTAGCCATAGGAAAGCTCTCCTATGGGGAATAGAGCAACACTGGAGGTCCTTACACAGTGTGAGTTTTTCTGTGCTATGAAGCAGGAAGTGCCCTCTAGTGGCTGTCTAGTAGACAGCCACTAGAGGAGGAGTTAACCCTGCAAGGTAATTATTGCACTTTATAAAATAAAAATGCAGTAATTACACTTGCAGGGTTAAGGGTTGTGGGAGTTGGCACCCAGACCATTCCAATAGGCAGAAGGGGTCTTGGTACTTGGAGTGTCCATTTAATCCAGCCTTTCTACAGTCTAGTTAGACGCTTGTTCTTTTAGTATTTGCTTTCCTTATATTTGCCTGTTAGATCCAGTCTCTCAGTCAAACACATGCCGAGCTGTAAGCGTAATAGGAAGCAGCTGCCCTCCCTAATTCAGTTGTTTTCCCATTTGTGATAAGATGGGTGAGGCACAGGGGAGAAAGAAATTGTAATTCTGTCTATCTGTACCGGGAGACATACTGAATTAATGGCAACTCCCACCATTCTTAGGCAGAGCTGCATGTGCATAACTGGTGCGTTAAAGTTATCCTCCGTACACAAAGGGATTTGAGAATGTGATGTCTGTTGGAATAACAGGTTGTGTGTTCTATAGACACAGAGTAAGCCATGTTTTGGGGGTAGATCAGAACATCGTACATGCAATGTACTATGGTGTCTGTTACGTACCAGAGAAAAAGAGGAAGGCTTTCGAATTTTAAGCACTGTATGCCAAAATAACTACGTATAGGGTGCATATTTTACTGCATCCTTCAGACCTTTTTATACAGCACTAGAACGGGGCCAGGAAACAGATATTGATAACAAGGTTACACAGAACACACCCAAGAACTGCTAAAAAATACAGGTTAACATATAGACTTTCATTCGTATGATGCAGGCCTCACGGATGTGACCAGCAGAGGGCATGTGGGGCATTGGAGATCAGGGGAGTCAGACGAGCCAGGAAGCTGGTTTTTACGCCTAACCGTAACATTTTCTGTAATCAGAACAAGGGAAGAATGTGCACACCTAATTTAATGTTTTGACGTAAATATATAAACCTGTCACTACAGGTTCTTATATTGGAAAAATTGATTTATGTGGGCAGTAAAATATCTGGTGATGACAGGATTGTACAATATATTGTTCATGTATAGTTTCCACAGAGAAACACACAAGTTCCACTTTTAACCTGCAGTGAAAATATTTATTAAACTTTATTTTTACAGCTCAATCTAGTTAACGAAATCTGGGAAGAAGTCTGAAATTAAGCTATAACAGTTTACAAAACAGATTAATGAACCAGAAAAGGAAAATAAACATTTAACACAAAAACAAGTGTATGGGGAGACCCATTAAAGATTTGGCCACATTACGAAATGGCTAATATGGAAAACACCTGATGATAAAGATTACTTTGCTTACATATACATTATATTACATACTCAAACTTCATGAAATCAAGTGCAAAATAGTTTTAAATAGTGAACATAAAGCCAGGGCAGTGAGAGGCGATGGGTATAGTGGCAATAGGTTATTCAGTCTGGCTTAGATCACATGTTCTTACCAGCGAGTGCCATTTGTGTCGTTTCAAGTCTATAGGAGATTAAAGGTCAGGTTATCACGCACAGACCGGCCGGGATGGAACTGATTTTATTTGCTGCTGGATACAATGACGAGCGGATTTTTACGTAAAATGGTTCATGCATGGTAGGTAAAGCATGACCTAAATAAACATACCTTGTGGTTTGTACTAATAGGATGAAAACGCTTCTTTGGAAGTCTACCTGTAATCTTATCAGCAACGTCGGTGACAGCCAGCCAATAGCAGGAGCGACGCCCAGTGTATTTAATACTGCCTGCTATTGCCAGATTTTATTAACTGGAACTAGAAATATCACTGACTGTGTACAGGAACTCTGGAAAATTAACAAAAAGTTGCACATTTCCCAGTTTTAGCCTAAAATGCAAGTCCTTTGGCATTCAGTCCCTAAACTGAGAATTTGTGGAGGACTACCAGCGTGCCGTGGCCTTGCTGACACGTTCAGTGTGCTCACAAACGCGAGATCCATCTGTAAAACACATTCAGAGAAATCCACACAAGGGAACTGCATCTAGGGACGGTATATCACCACCTTAGGGTGTGGCGAGACACAGCTATTTTTATGTTGCTCTTCGCCCTTTGCTTTGTGGATTTAGCATCACTGGTGCTGTATAAAATGTGTGTAAATATAGTGCGTACACTGTGTGTGACAAAGTGAATTCAAATACAAAACCAATCTGTGAAAATGGGAATTTCCAATGGGTCCTATGCGCTTTATGGACATTACAAAAAAAATTGGGGTTGATTTTTTTTGTGTGTGTGTGTAGGGAATATACAATGAATCCATGTCCACAGAACAGTATTGGTACCAAAGGGAGATAAATGGCACAGAGTCAAATTCTGCACCTTAAATATAAACAGGTAGTGATATACACAAATAAATCAATCTTGGTTAAGCTGTGCTCAAGCGGTACAACATCTATAAAGTATAAATACGAGTAATAGCAGGACTGTTTCATCCCAGTACTTGATTTGGAAACCAGGGAGCAGAGTAAGTCACAGAGTGAGATTAATACATTGCGACTGACTCAGAGTGCATTAATTATTGTGGAGTTCGGCACACTGCCAAGGAGTGTCACATTGGTCTGATTTAAATCGCAAACATAGATTGCACCAAGTGCTCTGAGAGAAATGGGGGACTGACCCCCAACCTCTGCCCAATCTCCTGATCAACAGGAAACCAGGAGGAACACTCCTCACAAGGGCACTTGGCGAACACAATTGGGCTATTCACTGGGGACAAGTCACAAAATTAGGAAAAACTGTCTAACTTGGCAATTCTTACCTAAAATGTGAATTTTCTAAATTTTCTACAATTTTCCAGTTTAGCAGGTTACCAGCCACAGGGGTAAAGCCGATAAAAACTAAAAGTGCAACATTAGCTGGTATTACCATACAGTACAAAACCATTCACTTTTACAGCATGGAAGAGAATTCTAAACTATCACCCTGGAAACAAATGGAGTGTTGTACCAGGCTCCATGGCGACAGACACTTCAAATTCATGTCATTAAGATGGAAAGCGATCACGTTCAGTTATTTATGAAATTGAGATAAAAGCCCCCTAATTCTTTGGCAGGAAACCTGCGGCAGAGACGAGAGATTATGGAGTGTTAACGAAATCCAGATGTCTTATGATAAGACCGGGAGAGCACCGACATCTAAAGATGTTTAGCATCCAGTTCATACTGCTTAAATTATCTATAAATCTCTAATTATAACTTGACTATAATTGTGCAATGTCACTAAAGTGATTTTTCATAGTTTCAATTTTAAACTTTCTATAAAATAATTCCACTATAGATTATATATTAGCCTGTATACCACAGGTATCTCTGTTCGTGCTTATAATTCGAGGCAGATGCTGAGATTCAACACGCCAGGTTTCAATCATTCTGTAAACCACTAGAAACAGCCATCTCTCGCTCACACAAAGTGCTAGGTAGGTCTGAGCCAAACCACATCCGCCACAAATCCAGAAACGCATCTCGCCAATTAATATAATTAGCAGAGCGTCACCGATTGCATCGTTAAAGAAAGCCCAATAAGCTGCCATGCAGGATGGTCCATTTCTGAAATACACGTCTATCAGGTAGATCGATATTCTTTGGAGAGGGATGGTAAACTGCATTAAGCAGGAGCTCCCGATTCTCCCTCCAGGAGTATTATAAGTTAGTCTTCAAGCCACATAATGCAGGAAATCCAGAATCCTTTGCAGCATCGTCAATGTGATGTCTGCTATTGCCTTGGGATCCGGTTAGTTTGTGATGATTAAATCCTGTGGCTGAGGCAGTGATGACAATGGTAAAGGTGCTAACGTGGAGTATTTTGTACACAGATTCTCACACAGAAAGTTCTAGAAGTACAGTGCCGGCTCACTACGGAAATCTGAGAGGGAGTTACTGTCTGCCGGGGTGAGCTGTGAAAAAACAAAATAATAGAGCACATGATATATCTGAGGATTAAACAAGCCTATATCTGCAAAATGCTAGGAATGTAAAATCTGTATTCCTTACACTATAGTTCACTCTGTCCCCCATGTCCCGGCCCTTCAGTGCTTTCCTATATGGATTTAAAGGATCACTCAGAATAACAAGCAGTCTGCTGACATCATCAGAAGTGCCAGCCTGATCCAATCACAGTGCTTCCCTATAGGATTGGCTGAGACTGACAACGAGGCAGATCAGGGGCAGAGCCAGCATGATTCAAACACAGCCCTGGCCAATCAGCATCTCCTCATAGAGATGAATTGAATCAATGAATCTCTATGAGGAAAGTTCAGTGTCTGCATGCAGAGGGAGGAGATACTGAATGTTTGGATGCATTTTAGGCAGCCATGACCCAGGAAGGATCTCTAACAGCCATCTGAGGAATGGCCAGTGAAGTTATCACTAGGCTGTAATGTAAACACTGCATTTTCTCTGAAAAGACCGTGTTTACAGCAAAAAGCCTGAAGGTAATTATTCTACTCAACAGAACAAATTCAATAAGCTGGTGACCATAGTGTCCCTTTAACTGAGAACATCCAGCGTCAGGTGACCAAAAGTCGCCTAGCAAGCAGGAAGTGCCTGTAATGTCTGTCTGACAACCGCTAGAAGGCAGACTTAGTCCTGCAATGTAATTATTGCAGTTTTTCAAAAACATGATTTACATTGCCGGACTAAGTGGGATTGGGACACTGCACCCAGCAATAAGCGGAAATGATCTGGGTGTCTATAGCGTTCCTTAAAAGTGGCTCAGTCACACCAAACTTGCCTTTCTAAGATTCCTCATCTTTCTCTGCATAGATTTTGATCTTCTCGTAAAATACATAATAGCAAAACTAGGGACTAACTTGTGTATTTTACCTCCACTTGACAAAAGGCAAGCTTCACTTCCTGAGTCCCACCTTTTGTTTGTTTATGCTCCCCAAGACACTTTGAATCTTAGTTGTCCCTCAAAAAAATAAATATCAGCAAATGACAAAGCTGCCATTATATGCAGACACTACATGGTCGTAGCCTAAAGACGAGACATCACCTGTATAATGTCCAGCCTAATGTCGGGAAATCCTTTCTATATTTTAGGGTGCACATACCCCAAACGGACTGAAATGAAAACTGCAGACTTACCACGTCACACTGTACAGAACCAGATGCATTGTGGGTAACTTATCCTCCCTAACCCATGTGTTTACCTAGAGACTAGCTACACGTAGCACGAGGGTTTAACTGTAATGACAGAATATTTACCATCTCTTCTTGGGGTGATGTACTGTCCCCAGATGCTGGTCCCCCCTTGGAGGGCTCCTCCTGCCATTTGCTGTAGTCTACGGAGTGTTTGGGGGTGTAGCTGGAGAGACCTGTAGAAAGAGAGAGGACATTTAGATATCTACCAGTCACAGGGGGTAAGACTATAACCACTTTAATGAGATTAAACAGTTAGAGTGTCCACAGTCTAATAATTAACAAGGATGGCATAATACAGACAAAGTAGAAAACACATATATATGTTCCCTCTATTCCCAATAGTCTGCGGATATCTGTAGAGAATGAATAAGCAGCACACCCCATGAAATGTTACCAAATTGTATTAGATTTAAGGCAGTTTTAACACGGGGCAAACAGGGCAGCTGCCCCGGGCCTAGTGACTTCAGGGGGACCAAAGCGTCTGCCCTGTGGGCCCCGCTGCCCTCAAGATTTTTTTCCCCCCGCCATTGCCACCAGCCGGGGGCCCACGAGTCACTTTCTCTAATAAAGAGAGGAGTCGGGAGGGAGGAAGAGAAGGAGGCAGTGAGCTCCTCACTCCCATCAGCCTCAGCGAGGAGCTTTCTCCCATAAAGAGAAGAGTCGTGCGGGAGGGGGCAGAAGTAGCCACCCGGGAGGGAGGAAGAGAAGGAGGTAGCTCCTCACTCCCATCAGAGAGGGAGGTGGTGTGTGTCTCATGTTGTGTGTCTGTATCTGCAAGTGTGTCAGTGTGTCAATCTGTATCTGCAAGTGTGTCAGTGTGTATCTGTGTGTATCACAGTGTGTGTGTAGCAGTGTATGTGCATACATCTCAGCATTGATACACCAACACTACATACAAACACACACATTTTGGTGTTAAACACCAATAATATAGAAACACACTTCTACATTCACCAACACTACACATAAATGCATGATTGCATTCAAATGGCACATACAAACACACCCCTACCCATTCACACAAACATACTCCATACAAAAACAGCTTCCATTCCAACACACCAATACGGCTCAGTGCTAAATACAATCCTGCAAACATGGGGAAATGGTAGAGCCCCAGCTGTCAAAGCATTGTTGGAGCAGCACGACAGATAGGGATCTACCTTCTGGCCACCCTTTTGAATAGGGGGGCCCACAAAAATGTAACTTTAGTCCGTCACTGCGTTGAAATGGAGGGCTTGATTGCATGCCAGGGAGTGAGGGGGAAGGCGGCGTGGGCAGGGCCCAATCAATATTAAAGACGGCCCTGGTTAGATTAATATATGTTATATGAATGCAGTAATATACACATAATCCACGTATCAGACGGAATAGAATGACAAACAGTACGCTATACATAAATTAGTCATAATGTATATACAACAAACTCAAGTAAAGAAATATAATGACAAGCAAATACCCAAAAACAAAAATAGTAGGGATCGACCGATAATGATTTTTTTAGAGCAGATACCGATAATCTGAACTTTCAGGCCGATAGCCGATAACTTGCCGAACTTCTGTACATTTACCATTTTGAAAAAAAATTAACTATTTCTAAAGGTAAATGCACAAAATATACATGCCACGTGTAGTGGATGCAGTGTGTTTAGACAGGGGAGCAGTGTGTGTGTAGTGTGTATATAATGAATGCAGTGTGTGTGTATAGTGTGTATATAATGAATGCAGTGTGTGTGTATAGTGTGTATATAATGAATGCAGTGTGTGTGTATATAATGAATGCAGTGTGTGTGTATATAATGAATGCAGTGTGTGTGTAGTGTGTATATAATGAATGCAGTGTGTGTATATAATGAATGCAGAGTGTGTGTGTAGTGTGTATATAATGAATGCAGTGTGTGTGTAGTGTGTATATAATGAATGCAGTGTGTGTGTGTGTAGTGTGTATATAATGAATGCAGTGTGTGTGTAGTGTGTATATAATGAATGCAGTGTGTTTGTGTAGTGTGTATATAATGAATGCAGTGTGTGTGTAGTGTGTATATAATGAATGCAGTGTGTGTGTAGTGTGTATATAATGAATGCAGAGAGTGTGTTTGTGTAGTGTGTATATAATGAATGCAGTGTTTGTGTAGTGAGTATATAATGAATGCAGAGTGTGTATAGTGTGTATATAATGAATGCAGAGTGTGTGTGTGTAGTGTGTATATAATGAATGCAGAGTGTGTGTGTAGTGTGTATATAATGAATGCAGAGTGTGTGTGCAGTGTGTATATAATGAATGCAGAGTGTGTGTGTAGTGTGTATATAATGAATGCAGAGTGTGTGTGTAGTGTGTATATAATGAATGCAGAGTGTGTGTAGTGTGTATATAATGAATGCAGAGTGTGTGTGTAGTGTGTATATAATGAATGCAGTGTGTGTGTGTAGTGTGTATATAATGAATGCAGAGAGTGTGTTTGTGTAGTGTGTATATAATGAATGCAGAGAGTGTGTTTGTGTAGTGTGTATATAATGAATGCAGTGTTTGTGTAGTGTGTATATAATGAATGCAGTGTGTGTGTAGTGTATATAATGAATGCAGAGAGTGTGTTTGTGTAGTGTGTATATAATGAATGCAGTGTGTGTGTAGTGTGTATATAATGAATGCAGAGAGTGTATTTGTGTAGTGTGTATATAATGAATGCAGTGTTTGTGTAGTGTGTATATAATGAATGCAGTGTGTGTGTAGTGTGTATATAATGAATGCAGTGTTTGTGTAGTGTGTATATAATGAATGCAGAGTTTGTGTAGTGGGTATAGTGAATGCAGTGTGTGTGTGTGTGTGTAGTGCGCGTAAAGTGAATGCAGTGTGTGTTTGTGTAGTGTGTGTATAGTGAATGCAGTGTGTGTGTGTGTTTGTGTAGTGTGTGTATATAATAAATGCAGTGTGTATGTTTGTGTAGTGTGCGTATATAATGAATGCAGGGTGTGTGTATATAATGAATGCAGGGTGTTTGTGTAGTGTGTGTATATAATGAATGCAGGGTGTTTGTGTAGTGTGTGTATATAATGAATGCAGAGTATGCAGTGTGTTTATATAAGGCAGTGTGTGTTTCTGTAGGTATGTAATTTGGGTGAAGGGGGGCATTTTTTATTAAAAAAAAAATTGTGAAAAAATGTAATTATTATTTTTTGTCCCCCCTCCCTGCTTGTTACTTGGCCAGGGAGGGGGGCTGTGGCATTCCATGGTGGTCCGGTGGCATGTACTCTACAGTGGGGGCCCAGCAGCAGGCTCTTACTTACCTTCCCTGCAGCTCCCCTGTGTAAATCCTGCGGCCTGCGTGACGCGTGGAGAGTGGCCATGGAAATCTTGGCAACGCTCTGACGGCCGTGGGACGAGATTTACACAGGGGAGCTGCTGGGCTCCCCAGGACAGCCGGGCTTGTAATGGGCCTGGCGGTCCTGGTATGTATTATCTGCAACATCGGTATCTTTATTGGCCGATACAGATATTGCCGAAAATACCGAAAATCGGCCGATCCCTGAAAAAATGGTCATAAAAAAATGCAAATATTCAAAAACAAGAAAGGCAGACTAATACTTATCAGAGAAAAAACAAATAATACAAAGTAATGGTGTGATAGACAAGGGACACCAAAGCAAAATAAAAATGTAACTCAAATCCCAATGTTTCAGCAAAGCTGTCTGGAGTCCCCTGGTACGGCTTCGTCATTCAGTGTTAAACGGTTTTCAATGTGATAATGCTAAACAAGAGTCCCCAGCAGTACGGCCCTCGGGTGCTTGGGTTAATGAGCAAGTATTAGCCGGCGGCTGTGATTGGCTGTAAGTCAGTTGACAGCTTTCATTCTATCACAGTGCCCATTGCTGGTATGAACTGGTATGGCCCCACCTCCAGTGGGGTCAGGGACTATCATTCAACGATAAACAGCTAAAAACATGTTTAACTCTGAATGGAGGGACAGCACTAGGAAACTCCAACGATAACCATGGTTCGACCATGCTGTACAATACGTAAGGACAGTGCACAAAAAGCTTACAATCTAAAGACCAAAGGATTTCATTCACCAGAATCTGGAGGGATGACATAACCGTGCCAAGAATGCTGTGATCAGTACCATGTACATCAGTAAATAGCACGTGACATAAAAGCAAGCACACACTTCTTTAATAGGGCTGTAACCTGTTCCTTCAAGAAGCATGCAGTGCCATTAAGCAATAACCAGTTCTTAGATAATAAAATCTCAGCAAATTAGACTTTGAAATGGAATTTCTAAACTGTGCTAAATCCACACGTAGACAACTGTGCAGAAATAAAAACTGATCATTGGAGATTTTATGGTATAAGCGGGTCCCAGTTTCTCTGCAAGGGGCTTACAGCACTATTCTGGCCCCTTTGGTGCAGGATGGTTAACAGATGCAGCTTTATTGTTTTCTACAAAACCTTATCAAGTCTAGTTCTAGGTCTCAAGCTGCGGCTGTGTGTATAATACTGCAGGTTGGTGGGTCACAGTACTGGCCAGTCCCACTGAAAGCAGCCACAGTAGCTTTGCAAACCAATTATTTAACAGATCCACTGGAAGACACAAATCAGACCAAACACACTGGAATAAGAGGCTCCTCTTCAGTTTTTGCCTATATTTATAATGCATTATAACTTCCAGCCTGGAGTGTTTTTTATAAACACACCTGTTTCATAATTAATGTGTTTTACTGATCCACAAACAAAAACACTGTATCCTGTAAGATTAACCATTAAAAGCCACAATTTCCTGCCCATTTAGTGGATCTCTTGCTGTTATAAAGACAAGTCGACACCTTACAGCAATATTACAGAGAGCAGGAGAGATGACGATTACAGACAAGTTTTCCAAAGAAGTAAACAAGTTTGTGCAATCGGGCTGTTCCTGAAACACATCGCTGATTGTTCCGCTGTGTTTACTGTTGGGGTTAAAGCAATTTAAGGAAACATTCCACACAAGGGAACCCATTTGACGAAATGAAATGTTATGTCAACAAGCCAAGCTTTGAAGCGAGAGCTCTGCTGCCGCAGGGAAAACATATTTTAGTACAGGAGGTGGAGGGAGCCATCACTAAACGGTCTCTAAAAGTGCTTATTCAACAGGACATGTGACACACGGATTTAACACTTTCACGACCAAGTCATGATTGCCAAGATAATAAGGCATACATTTATACACCCACACCCCTATCTCTCTATTTCCTGATTTCTACATGGCTCCCAATCACAGCCCACAGATCGGCCAGGATGCTGACTCAGTGATAATTACCATTAGACACTTTGTAATGAATTCAGTGTTACATAACGTAACTATAAACACTGTCTGTGGGAACGCGGAAACAGGTGTGGCGACAGGTTACGCGGCAACCTGTTCTGAACATCATGATCGCAGATTATTCCACGAACCCAGATCTGAAGTCGTTCACAGTCAATCATTAAGATATTCTTGTAAATGATATCTCCTATACAGGAGACAGCTGCGATATGTACATTATCTGTTAATAACCCCCCATACCTCTTATCTTACATTAAACCTGCTCCTATACACTATACAGGTGACCATCACACACGCCGGCTGCCAATAGACCGTTCAGTGTATCGGTATGAAATCAGCAGGTGAGTTTCACCTCCTATCCAGACCTGTGGTCAGTTTACCTGAGTTTGAAGTGTTGGTGCGGAGGGTGTTACTGCTCGTCCCGCTGCTGACAAACGTTGGGCGTGGTAGAAAGGGGCTGGATGGTTGGTCATCCTCAGAATCTGAGCCAGACTCTTCAGCACTCTCATCATCCTCAGCCAACGAAGTTTCAGAGGGATATTCAAACATGGTGTGTATGTTCTGCTCATTGAACGAGATTTTCATCTGTTGGAGAGAGTCAGACATCAGTCACAAGTTTCACAAATGATAAAACAATACAAAGCAGGTGCTGAAACGTAGATATTGTATGGGGAAACCATTGATAATTCAGTATTTTAAACACACCTCCAAGATTGTACCTGCATAGAGACTCAATGTGGCAGAAAATAATACTATATATGATTATATAACGTGCATCTGTATACGGTGTTAATATGGGTTAATACCCAGAATCCCTAGCTGTGATACCTTGATAAAAGAAGTAGCACATTTCTCTCATAAAATTATATATATATAAAATCACTGTCAAATCCTGGTTCTCTTGCTCTTTCCAGTAAGGAAATCACTCTGTCCATTTTAAGCCATTGTCAGAGAATGTTTGCTTTCAGTGGACTGACTGGCGCACACACACACACACACAGATTATTCATTGCAGAACACGTTATCAGGCTGCTGCAGGTTGAGGCTCATTATTTGGCAGAGATTTACTTTTCACAGAAACGAAACATGCGGAGGAAGATAAAAATCTGGATATAGCATCACACGTTTGCCACAGGATGTTATAGTGTCCGCCAATACCATCTCTACTGGGAAGCGGAGGCAAACACAGCCATCATTCACGTCCCTGTCTGACTTAAAAAAGACAGAACAAGCGATGATTGGCGATTTAGGTTAACACCTTTAGGGAAAGTGTCTGAGTATGACCAGAGCCAGGATGTGGAAGGTACACAGTGGGATCTGGGTGTTCGCTCTGCAGATCAGTTTGGGTCAGTGACCTGAAATTGCTGGTAATCCCAGTAACCTTGCCATGTTGTACAGTGTCTGGTAGAACAATTAGCACAAATAGATTAGCACAAACAGCCCTCCTTTATTTCCCATGGACGGTCTTGTGTTAACACACTTAAAGGGACACTATAGGTACCAAAACAAGTAGTTTAATGAAGCAATTTTAGTGTATAGATCATGCCCCTGCAGGCTCACTACTCAATTCTCTGCCATTTACACCTTCCCTGACTGTGACTGACACAGCTCTCAGAAAAACCAAAATGCTTTCATTTTCAATCAGATGTTAAAGTTCACTTTACTGAGTTAAGAGTAAAAGAAGTTAAATCACACACAGGAGACCCCTGCATGCTAACAGAGTAGATAAGAAATTAAAAATTAAACAGAATTTGCAATAAAGGAAGTGTAAACATTAGATCTCCACTTACAGGAAATGTTTAGGAAGGCTGTGTAAGTCACATGGAGGGAGATGTGACTAGGACTGTATAAATAAAGTGATTTAACTCAATGGCAGAGAATTGAGCAGAGAGACGGCAGGGGCATGATTTATACACCAAATATGCTAAAGATGTTTTATTGCCTATTGTATTACTTTAATAATCCTCATCATTTGATCAAAAACAAAGAACACCAATTTTACAGTCTTTTTTATCTACATAAACAGTAAAGTGTATTTCAAAACCATTTTAAAAATTCATAAAGACACGCTTTGCTTATTATCCATGTTTATAACTGTGCTTGCTTAACACAACAAGGTTTTATCTTCCTGTACCATGAAGCAGTCTGCGTGTACTAAGTGTATATTCGGTTAGGAGAATCCCACTGACAATCGGTGCCTAGCAATAGTCCCCAGGGACACAACGATACAACTGAGACCATATTCTCCACCAATTACCCTAGGTACCAAGTTCATTGAGAATAGGAAGAAACATTTTAATGTGCTCCTTTACATGTTTGGAACAAAACCAAAGGTTTAGAGAACTACAAATCAGGGCGCACTCTCTACGGGCAGCGGTGTGATGGCTTGCACAGTGATATTGTAAACAAGGGCTGCGTTTAGTGTGGACACATTACATTGTACAAGGCCATCCTTCTGTGGCCTGGAAACCTGTGCAGGGCTGTCTGGCATGGCCGGGGTTAAACCTCACCTGGATAGAAACACACACACAGTTTCAATGGGAGCACAATTTGTCACACCCCATATAGCTAATTCACGGCTATTGTTGGCCAAGCCCACGCAGGGAGAGGAGGATTTGCAGTGACCTGCGCACAGCTATTATATAATTGAAGCAGAGCGGGGTGAGGCCCACATCAGGACTGCCGGCATTGTGCTCTATGTTTAGAGTCTCACCTGGCCAACATTTACCTGCCTGTCACACCTGGGCACCGGAGTCTAATGCTGATGGTCTGTGAAGGAAGGGAGCAGGGAAATCAGCAAGTCCCACTGTCCAGTCCTTTTCAGTCTTTTTACAGATAGACACTTTAAAAAGGATGTGGAGAGGCAATGCACTGCATCTACTAATCCTTTCAGTTACACAGAGAGAAACCTTGCAGAGAGACAAAGAGAGAATAGAATAGTCAGGCAATTAGAGATTCTCAGCTTTTTTTTTTTTTTTTTTCATTATTTGTGGCATGATGCTTGGTGGTCAACTGGCACGCAGGATAAGATCCATTTTATTTGACCTTATACAGGGTGCCCACAGGGACAAATTATGTAGGCTACCCCTGGTTTGAGACTTACAGAAACAGTAATTTTTGGCTAAATGTGGCAGTGGGCTGAGTTTCCTCACCTTAGACCTTACTGAAATATAGTACTTGCATACTGTTCTCAGGAAAATGAGATGTGGCTCCTGGCAGATAGGTCCATCAGGACCACCAAGACGGTAGGGAGTAGGAGAGAGAGGTTTAGGTAAGCATAGTGCCCGCCCCCCTCCAGGCACTGCTATGTAAGCAGACATGTCACTTCAGGGATCAAACACTGGAAAGTGAGAGTGCCGGGGGTGCACTGAGTGGAGGTGCAGGGTACCCAGCTTTTAGCATGTTTAGAGGGACAGAACCCCAGTGATGCATGAGGCTGAAACGTAGGTTGGGAGTCGTTACATCTCTAGTACAGTGGTGGCATACTTGGATTTGGGTAACGGACTACCTTATAACAAGGCAGTTTACCTGGGTGCCATTTAGCTTGTCGTCTGTGTGCACCATCCGATTGCCGGGACTTTACCAATGGTGGCAGATGCACAGAGGGCTGGCAAACACTGCTCTCCAGTCAGCTAGCCTCTTCAACAATGGCAAACACGGGACTAATCCCAAGCAGGTTTCCAGCAATCCAGGACAGAGAGAGACATAGCTCGCAGCCCCCAGTCCTGAATAAAGTATTAAAAGGGCCAGCTTTATAGATCCAGTCTGTTATGTGACAAAGGGGTCTATCTCTGCTAAGCTGGGCACCCAATATAATACGAAGACCAACAGCATGTCACACTGCACAGCAAGCCTCCGCCTTCAGCAAACTCACCAACCTCAGATAAGGAGTTCCAGTCTGTGGGAACAATACACAATGACAAGTACAACCACCAGAGTAAAGGAAGGCTCCCTGGTTGCTGCCCCTGCCTGCCCTTACAAATGGAAAATGCTTCTATAACAGGTCAGATGTAACAGACCGTGATAATCCTGTACTATGGAAACATAACTTGTTATTGGGAGTTCCCTCCCTGTGAAGTGTTAAAGAGTTCGTAAAACTCAGCAATGCCAAAAAATCACCACACAGCCGGCTTCCGCGTTCTCACAGCACAACATTCAGTTTCTACAGTAACCGATATAAACACAGCCCTGCAAAACTCTACTGTAGGCACGACCTAAACATATTGGCAGAACTATATATGGCGCCTGCAGAACCCGCACACTACAGGGTACATCCCATAGCACTATATACCGCACCGGCAGAACCCGAACACTACAAGGTACATCCCATAGCACTATATACGGCGCCGGCAGAACCCGCGCACTACAAGTTACATCCCATAGCACTATATACCACGCCGGCAGAACTCGCACACTACAGGGTACATCCCACAGTACTATATACCATGCCGGCAGAACCCGCACACTACAGGGTACATCCCATAGTACTATATACTGCGCCGGCAGGACCCGGGCATTACAGGGTACAGTCCATAGTACTATATACCACGCCTGCAGAACACTCACACTACAGGGTGAACCTTGCAGCATTAAATACTCACATTACACACAGTACTTCCTGGAAACATACTACATAGTAAGTTAGAACACTAGACTGTAGTTTATAACCCCACGTCTGTCACATGATATAAACCAGTTTCCTGCCAGGGAGTACACGTCACCTGCAGCAACACAAATGACTAATCCACCAGCGTTTATTTTCAATTAAGTGGCATTATCTGCTATGACTAGTACACGTGTCCCGTGTCTGGGGTAATATCATTTACAGCTATGAAAAGCATTGTGCCTTATCTCCATTGTGATCAACAGCACACGTCATGTCAAATAAGCAGCACTGCAGCTCAGGGGTGTAGGATAAGGGGCAATGGCCGGTATAGATTTTACACCATGATGGTGACTTACTATAAAGACTGGAATCAGTTCCTGTGAAATTCGAACAAGAAGGGATAATGCTAATCTGTTCAGAAATTTGTGGATGGTGGGAATATGGAAAAACTATAGATGGCGGCACACAGCACAGAGACCGATGTCCACAGGCGGCACACAGCATAGGGACCGAGGGCCACAGGCGGCACACAGCACAGAGACCAAGGGCCACAGACGGCACACAGCACAGAGACCGAGGGCCACAGGCGGCACACAGCACAGGGTCCAAAGGCCACAGGCAGCACACAGCATAGGGTCCAAAGGCCACAGGCGGCACACAGCATAGGGTCCGAGGGCCACAGGCGGCACACAGCATAGGGTCCGAGGGCCACAGCATAGGAACCAAGGGCCCTCAGTGTTGTTCATGGGAGCCACAGTAAGAAGGTTTGCATCTAGTCCAACATTCAGAGTTCTGTTCTTTGGGAGTCTTAAAAAAAAATGTCCATTATATCCAAAGGAAGTCCGCATTAGAAAACGTCTATTTCATATGTGGGAAAAAAAATAGCTTCTGGACGGCTGAAACAATGTGTAGTCAGACTGGATTATGTGGTGCTGGTGCTACGGAAGTTAAGAAAAAATTTTGGAATCGGGGGCACATACAGAACATGCATTTCTAAGCAGTGGTTCTACCAAATGTATACAAAATATAGTTCCTTTAAATTTATTTTATTGAGAAAGTTACTAATGGCAGATTTCTTACATGTGTGCATTTGATGGTTCGTGATTGGCAGTGACAATTAGTGCGGTGACTGAAATACAGCAATACGGATATCAGCACAGAAACACAGGGCGCAGCACACCACCCCCTCACTGCAGGTGCCATTACACCAAATACGCCGATAGATGACATCAGGCTTACAGGAAATCGCCACGCTTTAAACTCGGAATGCAACAATACCTCCGTCACAGCTGAAGGTGACAGCTACGGGACATAAATATAGATAAATATAAACAGGTGACTCACAAACAGATTTCAATGAAAGTGATTTGGGGAGGGTCACGCCTTGGGGCCTTTTTTTTTTCCTCAATAAAACTGGACATACCGGTCTCATCCAGTGGGCTAAATCCATTGCCAGAATAGACCTAGCAGCATGTGGGTTAGGTCTGTAAATAACCAGCTATGATCTCTAAAGAAGAATCTCTGCATTCTACAGAAACCATGCACTAACCAGAGCTCACCCCAAGGCTGAAAATACAAACAGAATTAGCTCCTAAAAGCATTGTGGCAAAACTAGCCACTGGGACTATCTTGGACAATATGTGGGGAAAAGTTGCCTGTGTCTTTATTCTGCTATAATATGTGCCTGGCTGTAATTGACTTCCTTCACTGTATGTTTCATTGATCTTGTCAGCTATCTGCTGAAAGCAGATAGCCTTACTGTATTTCGTTTCACGAACAGCGCCTTTGCGGGCTGTTCGTGAACCGAATGAACTATCGTTTAATAGCCCACACACTAAGGGACGTGTGGCGCTTGTTAACTGATTGCAACACTCCTAGGTGGCCGTCGTTCGGCTACCGACCACGCGGTGGTCGGCCATCTTGGATCCTTTGTCTCCCCAGCGGTGTTTGGTCGTCAAGCGCATGGAACTGAAAACTGCTACTCGACGGCGCGAACACCGCTGGACTTCCAGGCCGTTCGGGAGCTCCGGTCTTTCGCCATTAGGGTTCCCCCATCGGGGTTCGGTACTTTGGGGCGAACTCAATGGCAAAGTGTATTTCATGCGGCGTTCGGTTGTTTTAGCTGGGATCTGAATGGTATTCTCACGAACTGTGCACTCAGACCCCAGCTATCTACCGAACGTCCATTCGTTTAAATAGACTAAGTATTACAAAGGTTATGTATTTAAAAGTGAATTGTCGGTTCTGCTGCACGGAGGGATAATCCACTTAACGGTATATTCCAGTGGGAGTATCCCTCTCGTGCAGCAGTGCCTAATGGGAGAAATGCCCAGAATGTTAAGTCCCCCATGTAGTCCCCTACTGTATTACCCCTGCAATGTCAGTAGGGAAACCCCTTGCATGGGTACTTGCATAAATACTGGAGCTGTGAATAAAGACCTCAGTTGATTCCCAGAACTGTGTTTCGTCCGGTAACTGGGGGATTTGGGATATTGCCTTACTTTTCAGCGCTTGACTGTGGATTACCTTCTTTACCAGCGGAGTTCGTGGGATTTAATATTGCCGCTCCGCTACATGCATTAGACCTGGTCAGGATCTAAAGACTGCACAAATTCTGCTGAATTCAGCGTTCACTCGTTATACAAGGGCAGACATCAATGTGACAAGACGCAGCAGGGCTGCAGAGCTTGGCGTCAAAAGACGCAGCAGGGCTGCAGAGCTTGGCGTCAAAAGACGCAGCAGGGCTGCAGAGTTCTTGTCATTATAAAGTGAATACAATAAAAAGGTATCTACAGCTAATGAGCTCCCTGCATAGTTCTGCTGGAAGTCAAACTTGCCATTAAAGTCAGGGTGTTAAGAGAGAGGGCATTTCCAACCTGGCATTAAATCCAGAGATATCACAATACAGATTTTATATAAAAGCAGCTCTATGCCAGCAATGAAGGCGAGCAGGAGAAGGTCAATATTTACCCATCAACACACAGGCATATCTAACACAATCAGCCTTCCAGACTCACAGGCCCCAGTTCAGTATACAGAAAACAGTAATACAGAGAGCAGGAGAGGGGCTCATAATACAAACATTTAACATGTGAGTTTTTCTAAAACAAATACTGGGTGAGCTAGGCATTGCTCCACAGACTCCATACTGGAGCCACATGAATGCCACGGCATAGAACAGAATCCTGGACTCAAAATATATGGCCACAAACCTGCGATTATTTACAGCCGGTGGTACACCGGTCTATAGTAATTAGAACATAGACATAAAATGGAGAACACGGCCACCAGTATCGGATTCCGTGGGGATCAGCCAAAAGCTAGGTGGTAATTTTGATACAAGGCTGCATCATGCACACTGCGTGGCTGTCCGTGATTACGCCAGGTTACACCACAGATGCTGCCCAGCCTCCAGGCACTGAATGGGTTACACACATCCCCCTCAACCTCAAAGCAGGCAAACAGCGTGTGCCCCCACAAGCCCCAGGAGGGAAGTGTGCTGAATTATTAAGTTAAGGCAGAATGTCTCATTTCCAAGGAGTACAGTCTGGGAGAGTGACCTTTCACCCCAACTTATCAATTAACCAACACGTGCCATTTTATCTGGCAGTGTGAATGTACAACAAGCCGAGAAAGGTAGAATTAAATGCATTTAAAAGCAGATCCGCTTTGGATGAAGTTATGCCAGAATCTGAGAAATTAAACTAGCTACGACTTGGCTTGATAGATAAAAAAGGCAGAGAGAGGGCATTTATTGCAAATTAGCTGACATTTCCCAGAATTCCAAGCACCTTCCAGGGAGGGTAACTAGCACAGATATTTAATGGTGGCACACATCACCATATATAAAACGGATACTATAAAACCAGGACACCAGGAACATGGCGCACTCTGCAGCCAGCATGTTCTCCATTAGACGGGCCGTCCTGCGGACCCATTAAGCTCTCTGAATATTTATGGAATGACAGGAATGCACATGCTATTCTTCCCAAGTCGAGGCTGGCCGGACTCCATACTGTGACATGGCCACCATGCTGCCGATGCAGGAATACTGTGCACAGATCTGCAGCCAAGATTAACTTCCTGCAGCAGCAATGGAGCAAAGATTAACATAGATATTTAAAATATATAAATCCAATAAAAACTGAGATATACCCTAGGACCAGGTTTATTTGAAATCGCCGTTTTAGCTGCTAATTCCAATTCTTCAGGAAATCTAAATAAAAGCTTAATAGATACACAGTCATACTCACACTTACTACAGCTAGACACCGGCAGGTGTGACTGTGTTTGACAATTGTTCGTTTGGGATATTAATAGGACCCACACCTAACCCATTGTAACACACCTTGTACGTAATCCATTCACAGAGTGTCCCCCCGCATGTCACCCCACAGACTGATGAGACACACACTGTCCACAAATGGCAAGTTACAGAATGAATTTAATGGAATATATATGTAGATTGTACAAATTCCATCATATTTCTTCAATTTATACATCCTGCTACTTTCAGCAGCAATTTAACCTCTGTAACAGGTGTTTTAGAATGATCTCTACCCCATCTCCAAGGTAAGAGGGACACTTTGTTCACAGTGTTAGCATGAAGACACATCCGGCATTATTTAGATCACACTAGATGGTATCGCAATTCCAGATGTTCCCTGAAGCAATACAGGTTAATTCCTTGTCAAAACATCTTCACGGTTTAAAATAAACAAGACTTAGAGTAGTGAGCATGTCGCCCTGCCTGTGCAATGGGTGAGCTTCTGTAATACCAAGGCTGCGCGTGTCTCTATTGCAGATTGCCAAACTTTGAACATACGATCACATACAATGTCACTACCAATGGAGCGCGTCAAAATATTCCATTATTTCACCAATAACTGCGGACACAGGACTCGAAGCATCTTGTCAGATAAGCTCACACTTCTAGAGTGACTGCTCGATCAGTCCATATACGTAAACAGCAATGTCTGCTAGGAGTAACCATGCGGTCTATACATGGCCCTAGTGCCGCAACAAACATAACAAACGTGTCAAACTTTACGACGTCTGCGCCTGCGCGATGAGATGTGCACACAGCATTCTGGGATTGAGTCGTGCACTGTGGGAAGAATAAGAGTGCAGCCATGTTCTAACAAGTGGCATGGTAATTCAGATCAATACATTACAGGCAAAGAGCATAAAAGCCTGAATCTTTAGAATTAAAATGTAACTAACTTTTTGCAAAACACCGCAAGGTGTCCGAGGGAGAGGTATTTACCTGAACTTCTCTCCCTATGTTGCAGCCTTTCAATTTGGCGAAATTTTCATCTGGTCGCAGCTTCCTTCAGCAAGAGTCCGTGTCGCTGTTGTCACACTCAAACATGTGCAAGAGTACAAAGTGGGGCCCCACGGAGGACGCTGCGCAGTTATCTATGAATTACCTCGCAAACGTGCATTGATATACCACAGACATCTACAGAGCATTGTATAAGAAGACGCACATTGCAATCAGATGTTACTCATAACAGCAGCGTGAAGCCAGCCAAATTATCAAACTTTGACGACAATCAGCACCAACGTGAGACAAAGTGTTCTCTACCTTGTTTTACATATGTCATCTGATTGAGCTAGAAATCCAGTGCGGTTCCCCCCCCCATTCTGGCTCTTCCTGGAACTCATTGTACAGGGTTTTTCCTGGGTATCGGATCGCGGCCCTTTTGTCCATAAACCCCCAGCTCACAATAACACGGGTTTAAACTAAAGGATTTATTTACTGCTCAGTGAGGTGTATGAATTGAAAAACAAATTGTAAAATTCAGGCCGAAAGAGCCAAACTGACAGAGCAGACTATGAGTACAGTGGGACCTCGGTTTACAAACGACTCGGTTAACATAATTTTCGGTTTACAAATGAAAATCCATTGAAAATAATGCCTCGGTTTACAAATAATTTTCCCAATACAAATCAAGTTTCCCCAGGATGCATTGCACCTGGGAGTTTTATAGCACCGACCCCTGCATGCTGGAGCCTGTGGGTAGCACGTGGCGTCGAGTGTGGAGGTATTGGTGCGGCCTTTTGCATCGAGTTTTGGAGCCATTCTGCAAATTGTTTTCAGTTGTTTTGGGACTTTTGGGTGCATTTCTCAAGCAGTGGAAAAGTAGGGAGCTGAGCTTCATTGTTTGCGTGCCTTTTATTGTGTGTTCTGCATTGGGGGTTGGTTTCCATGCCAGCTCATTTTGACTTCTTTCTGACCTCCAGAACGGATTAATTGGTTTTCAATGCATTCCTATGGGAATCACTCCTCAGGGAGCAATAGTGATAACACAGTTACAGAAAGCTAATGGGGAGAAGCATATAGTTCTGTCTGCTCTACCTGAAATGACCAATATGTGTGATGTCACTAGCTACACTGTGCGCACCGAATGCCACGCCGATCCCAGGATCAATGCACAGGCTTCTGCTAAATGTCAACAAATAAAAGGAGTTTTACCGACACAGAACGGGACAATCTTAGAACACTGTAACCCAGCCCGTGGCACAGTGTGAACCTGGTCAACCGCAGCAAACAATCTGTGAGCTGGAACACACAGTATTGGCACATGATGCTTTTAATTCATATCACAGAGTACCATATAAACAGATATACAGAATATCGATCTCCGATGGCTCCATACATTGACAAATCCAACATGGCTACTTGGGTACCACATCTATACATATTGTTGGGGAGGGAGAGAGGGAGAGAGAGAGGTACACACACACACACACAGGATAGGAATAAAAGGGGTACATTCAGAGCTTAGCGCATTCTATGATACCATTAAATAAGGAATCATTATATAATGAGATATATACAGGATAGGAATAAGGGGGTACATTCAGAGTTTAGCGCATAATATGATTCCGTTAAATAAGGACTGATGATAAATACAGGATAGGAATAAAAAGGTGGTAAATGCAGAATTTAGCGCATACTATGATACCGTTAAATAAGGACTGATGATATATACAGGATAGGAATAAAAGAGGTACAAATATCACACAGTGCCTCATATAATCCTGAGCTCAGGTCGTCTTGTTAAGACTTTGAAATAAACATAATCTGTAAATACAAAATACCTGGGCTGCCAAACACACCCCGCGCGGACCTGAGTTTTATCTATTTAACCCTTACATTGCTGAATGGTTTCCCAGCAGCTCATACAATTATAGGTCTATATTTAGCTCCAATATCCCAGTTTATTACGCAGAACGCAATCGCAGAGGCTATAAACTGGCGTTCCTGTATAAACATGGACTGATCGAGAGATAGAGCGCTGCAATAGCCAAACGAATGTTGGACTCTAGCCCCAGTAATAGCCTATTAAAGGATTTGGCTGGCTGGCATCCAGTTTTACCGTTGTTTTGGAGAACACTACCCTGCAGCTTTACATCTCAAGGAATGCACTAATCTGATGCTGGATCGGGGGTGACGTGGGAGGCAGAACTGGTACACTACTTCTGTGTAATCTAAGGAGGAAACACAAGCAGCTTATTGCTGCTATAAAGAGAACATGGCCTGACAAGCTTTAACATACACCCAGCCCTGGTTACAAGGAAGTAAAGGTGGACGGAGTGTAGCACACCTTGTTACAGGTATAGCAGCCACACATTGTAGCAGTAACATGCAGTGAAGAATTCATAGAAAGCCTTTACAGACACACTATGAAGGCAGCACATCATATTGGGCAGGGGGTTATAGGAGAAAGACCCCATCAGGGGTATCACACAAACAGCTGTCTGGGTACCTGTTGACATCTTGTCTATATAGCCATTTATAGAACAAACTCCTGATGAGAACCCAGTGAGTACCAAACATTCCAGGATTTATGGGGTCAGGGTGGTCTGGGGCACTGATTGTTCCCTACACGAAAAGCAGACCAGGCTGTAAAAAAAAAAAAAAAAAGGTCCTGGTTCCGCCACTCGTTATTCACTGACGGACATCAGAACCAAGTCCACACCAGACCGAGATGGAGGGACCCACAACACTGGGGTTCACCAAGTTCAACCTTTACCAGTTTCTTCTTTGGGAGGGTCAGAACGGATAATTAAAAACGGTCTTTTACCCTTTTTTATAGCAAAATATTAATCTCATACGTGATCAGTTTAAATTAGCTTTTTAACCAACATGCCGTGACAAAAGGTATAGTGTTAACAAAAGGAAAGCAAACACTACCAGGCATTCCGTCAATCCTTATTTCCAGATATTTCATCTCTCTTTGCACACCTGCCCTATATTAAAAGAGAAACCCCATCTATTGCTCCCAAACAGGTGGAAAATCTCTGAAAAGTGATAAACTGCTACACTAATACGAGAGGCTTTGCTAGCAAAGATCTATTTCTAGATCCCAAGACAATTACCGTCCCGCAGAGTATTATCAGACTAACTGGTTAACGCAGCTGCTGAGCATGGACAGGACATTATCTAATCCTGTTACAATTTAAAGAGTTTAAGAGACTCGCTTTCTAAAAATGGTATTATAACAGGTTGTTCACAGGCAGGGCCGCCGAGAGGTTTGTGACAATCGAAAAACGAGTATGTCAAAGGTTTTGGGTAAATGAAATGGTGACACAAGTGGCAAATAAGTCAATAAGAAATAGGTACTGATTCAAGCAAATCATGTGAAACATCTCCAAGGGAGGAGGGATGCATTTATTTGGAGAGAGCATGGGAATTCTACCCCCACAGTAACATTGCAAACACCATCACAAGAGCCTGAATGGCTCAAGTGTACAGTTAAAGTGGCTCTGTATTCAAATTACTTCCCATCCCCAGTCTGTATCAATTTCTCTAGCCCCCTCCAACCCCCATATCACAAATACCCCAAAGGTTAGTAGCCCCTGGACTGGTGTTACTTTTTTCAGTTGTACTGGTCCAGCCGAGTCTTTTACAATGTCGCTATCTCAGAGTTTCCAAGATGGCGGCCGCTGCGAATCGCTGCCACTGCCCTCCTAAGAGAAATCACATGCCGGTACACTTAGAATCCAGACAGACCGTCAATGACGCAAGGCTGGAAGGAGGTAAAAACTTGACCATCGATGACAACAGTTGACAAAGGCTATGGAGCTCGACCAAAGCTCCACCGTTTGTCAACCAGCAGCCTACACCCAAGGAAAAGTGGTCCCTATTATTAATTATGGGGTAACGTAAAGAATGTATATTATTGGTGGTAGCAGGAGAGGAGTGCGGTATATCTGCAGGTCACGTTCTGCAACACAGGTTCACCAACAGGGTTATAAGGAAGTGATTATCATATATACCTATAAATGTATGGAATGTGCCTTTATTACAAGCAATTCCAATAGAAGAAAAAAAAAAACACTCCTTTCATTTCACTTCAATCACGTCTTCTCTGGAGTGCGCGATACCTGCCAATCCCTACAACGCTCCCATTGCAGGTTAGGGTAATAAAAGGGCAGTTTGACGCAGATACGGAAAAGACAATTGTTCCCAAAACCTGTGTAGCACTCGATCCCAACCGCACTGTAACCCACATGTTATAAGCGGATGGTTATTTAGGTCTATCTGAAGGAGTAATCCCAGCAAGAAGCCGGCTGTGCATGGTACTGCACACACCTCTTCCACTCACATCAATCACAGCCAGGGGCTTTGGCCTACAAGGTCTGCAGGCTGACATGATGCTTGACCAGGAACGCTGATCAACAGAAATATTAAATTGTATCTTTATAGATTCCATCAGGTACTCGTCCCTGCTGCCCGCCGCCATGATTCCTCTACTGCTGCTCTGGGCAGGTAAATGGCAGGTGACGGCTGACACTGTCATTCAGCCAGCTTGTCCCTTCCTCGTCATCAATGAGGAATGGATGCATTTATCCATACACCCGACACCTGTACTTTCAATGCTGTCTATTGATGTTGCTGCTGTTTTCACTTCTCTATAAGAGTTGCCTCGCCCACTCCAGGGAGCAAAGAAACCAGATCTGGTTCGAGCATTGCCTGCAGCACGGCATTTTCACTGCCGATGACAATCTGCCATCAGTGAAAGCCGATCCCCAGCCATGCAGGTAGCATGTCGAGCTTACACGAGCCTGGCCTACTTCAGGGAGGCACAAGTGTTTCTCACATTCAGCTCGTACTCTGACAACAAGAGGAATTCACAGCAAAAGATAAATGGAGGCCACTGGCAGACCTCCACCATCACCATATCCGCAGGCTGCGCACAGTGCTTAACAAATCAACTAAACATGGAACAATCAGCAATGGCTTCCAGGCCAACGGCTCCCTGCGCTCATGTTCCACCAGGTTTCCTGACCTTACAGGGGTTGGTTTAAATAGAGATTCATTTCAGGGGAGCATGCTGGCGCCGCAATGCAGTAGCCTAGCATTCCATGAGCTATGCATAGCCAGAGGTGCCCCGGGATTTTTCATGGAACAAAAAGTCCCAGTAATTGGGATTCAGGTTAAGCAGATTTTTGAGTCATTAACCATTCTTACTAGTCTGCTTTTTTGATCTAGAAGATAAAGTGGACTGCCCATCTCCTCACAGGTGGTTGAATAAACACATATTTGCATATCCCACAATTACCTTTTCACACTCCACATGAGGAAAGAATTATTAGGCTATTATGAAAGGCACAATAATACAAAAGAGAATGTACACAGGAGAAGAAAGTAGATATGGTAGCTCTAAAACACCTATATAGTGGAATCCCCTACACCACTAAAAACACATAATAATACATACAAAATAATAGGTGGAGCTGTAAAATCTTGAGTAGTCTGTAAAACACAAATAAAATGCAAAATAGCGTAGTATGTCTGTAACTGACGATAAAACCAAAGTAAGAAGTAATAGAACTCACAAGGCTGGAGTCATACCATCATATGACTCTAGAGGTATACGTCTCTGGACTATTGGGGGTTGTCCAGACTACAGCCAACTGAGGAAGCCTGTTGAACAGGATTACCTGTATATAAAGTATTCCTTGGGGACCTATTAAGAAACATAAGGTGGAAGACCAAGAAGCTGACAACAGAAGGGTCTGGACAACCCCCAATGGTCCAGAGACGTATACCTCTAGAGTCATATGATGGTATGACTCCAGCCTTGTGAGTTCTATTACTTCTTACTTTTGTTTTATCGTCAGTTACAGACATACTACGCTATTTTGCATTTTATTTGTGTTTTACAGACTACTCAAGATTTTACAGCTCCACCTATTATTTTGTATGTATTATTATGAAAGGCACAGTGTAGGCACGACAACCATCTCATTGAAGTGGTTTTAGTGTCTGGAGTCTCCTGGTGCTGTCCAGCCATCCAGTATTAAACCATTTTCGAGCAGTTTAACACTGAAAGTGGGTGCCTGGCTTCCCATAGCTCCACCCCCACTGGAGGTGCGGCTAAGGCAGAGATTACACATGTCCTTCTAGCCATATCAATTCATACCAGCAATGGATGCTGTGATAGGCTGAAAGCAGTCAGCTGACACTCTGAGCCAATCCCAGCCACCCACTGCTGCTTACGTTAATGCTTCCTCATTAACCCAAGCAGTACACCTACAGTGTCCATAAACCTTTACCACCCTCCCAGCCCTCCCTCCAAGGCTTGTAACGCACCTCCACTCATCCCACATTTAACTGCAACTTCCATGATTTTCTGGCTATTCAATGCATTCAAGGAATTTTGGAAGTAGTAGTCCATCAACATGTAAAGGGCCAGCGTTTGAGATCCTGGATTTAAATGAACGGTCGGTTTCAGAATGAAGATATTAATCACCTCTAACAGAGGTCGTTATAAAGAAATTACATCACTCATTGCAATGTAGATTTAACACACACATAGATACACGCGTGACCAAGCTCAGTACAGGTTATCGTCTCTTCGGCATTACCTGATGGGTTACAGCGAGGGGCCCACGGGGTGGGCGATACAGATATTCTATATTCCAAGGTCTAATACTGCAGCCATCTATTGGCATTGCTCACCTTCTATGAATAAACAGGTTAATTGTGTTTCCCTTGCAAAGAATCCAAACAAGAGCGAGTGTGTGTCCTATCCCATGTCACTACTCCTCTCACTCGCAGTCACATTCTGGATAACCGGCTGATATTTTATATAACAAGGAGTGTAAGAATGTGAAGACGAAATATGGGATTCGAATAGCCCTTCACACAGCTCCATCCCGGCTTGCTCTAACGTTAGATAGATAGCCAGACACCTGAATCCCTCCAGTGTGAGCGCCAAGGGAGCATCCTGCTACCAGGTACCATGCCCCTGGATTCTACGTGAACCAAATATAAAGCATGGCTGCCACTCAATGGACACACGCGTGACGCTACGTAATTGCAGTTCAAATTAAAGTGAATGAAGCATTCTCTGCCATAACTCTCCATAATTACCAATGGAAAGGGGAGCCGAGCCCTGATTTCCATAGACATGTCCTTAAATTGTGAGCTATAAAAGCACTCTGTGTATGGGTTAACTGCACACTGTGACAAGCACAGCAAACGTGGAATCCATTTCACCCACACGGGATTGGAGCAAAATTCCAACTTCTTACTGGCGTGCGTACAAATCCAACTGGTTGGCATTATTGTTCCAACACCTTACATGCCAACGCATTGCAAAGCAAACACCCAGCACTTGAAGGGTAAATCTCTGTGCCTGAATCTTCCCCATCTGGTGTAAGAGAGGAAGTTACAATGAGGTCATACATTTGCACTCTGAGCCTTCCACCTGCTTCCTGTGGAAATCAGAATGACACATATTATGGACCCCAATCACACCAATCCGCCCGATGATCCACGGCAGGCTTTATTAAACTTTGATATATACGTGGTCACTGGAAATGAAGATCTTGCTTTGTCCTCTATAAAAAAGGAATGCGGTGGGGGCACTCACTCGCTATTACAGAGAGTCACGTTTGCCCAAGTACGGGCAGCATTGCACAATTCTCAATAATTCAATTTGCAATAACTTTGGCTGCACAATGTTCAGATTAATAAATTATCACAAAGTGGTGTTTGTGTGACATTTACAAGACTACGTAAACAGCTGATGTATTCAGAACCTGTTTAGTTTACTTGTTATGGGATAACCTACACAATTTATAATCACAAGCTCCCAGCTGAACGCGGATGTAGATAATAAAGTGTCCCCGGCCTTGTCTGCAGTCCCAGGTTGATAGACCCAGCCATTAATCAGGCGGAGGAACCAGTGACTGAGCAGCTGACATTTTACGAAATGCAAATTCCCACGTCACCCTAAGGGCTGCAAGGAGAATGTAGGCTGAAGCACACCAACAAGGCCCAGAGAAGCCAAAATTGGTCCAAGATTTAGGGGTGAATGGAAAGAAGAAATGACTGATCTGAGCCAGCGTGAAACTGGGGCTTATTTACTAAACAGTGACTTGTATCGTGCTGGTTGAAAATGCAGGTCTAAAAAAACAAAAACAGACTTTTGACAAAAAGCGGGCAAGTCATAGTCACAAGCCAATCACTACATCATCCTGCTTGAGCTCAAAATGCAATATGTTCCCTACATCTCATGCACTGATTAAAGAACACAAAAAAGAGCACATTTAAAACAGAACATATTCGTCAGATACTACACACGCCCGTCTCTCAGAGTTTGGCATCAGTTCCTTCCTCTTCCTATATTGCTAAACCCCCCCCACAACATGAAGATTTAATTTGCAGAAAGCATTAAAGATTCACTTTATATAAAACCACAGGCGTCACCCCAGCTATGGGAGTCACCACTATTCCCAAGTGATGCTGGTTCCTGGATGTACACCCAGTTAGGCAACAACAAGTCACACAAAATAAAGTTCTCCAACTGAACATAAAAAGGCGCAGTCCATCCAACGAGCTGCGCTCTGCGTGTCGAGGCCTGTACTGGGAGAGAGCTGTCCCCAGGGGCCAACGAACCCAACTGCAGAAAGCATCAATCCTAATTGTAACAAACAGGGGAATAACAAAGTGTAAGGTAACATGGAAGATTTGAGTGCATTCATCAACCTAGCTATAGTCACAGCTTGACGATGTAAGGCTACATTTAGCTGTTTAGTTTTCAATATGTGACAATTTGCTGTTTAGTGAATAAACCCCTGATTTTAAACTGTACCGGAGGGTACCACAATTCCTTTATTTAAGCATAACCCCTGGATTGCTGGCTGTGAAGGGGTCAGACGCACGCGTGGAAATGATAAGTCATCACAACAGACGTGCAAATGTCCAGTTATAATAAAAAAAAAATTAATGAACCATTTTAGAAATTATTAACACAGAATGGGTGATGCGGTGTTCATGATTAACACAGGTAATTTTTGTCCAGTCTGTCCCCCTCCGTAGCCGATATACTTGTTCTGGTTATGAACACATTAATCAGTCACAGTTTACAGGGAGCGCAAGACATTTCTCCGCGTCCCGACATTTGGACTTTGCAGTCGCTGCGCAGTTTCAGAGTGTTTCAGGCGTATACACCGCATTCACAGTGCAAATCTGAACAATTTTATACAGCTGAACTATTATGGCTGGGGGTGGTGGGTATCTGGAGAATTTCAGGGAGAGTATAACTATAATATTATACAGACAACAGGAAGTATAGAGTACGTCTTATCGTTGGCTGAACCTTGGATTCTGGAGTATAAATAAGAGCTATAAGTCACATGACGCAGACAACGTCAACTTATATCACTAGGCCGAGAGGATGTGTAGATATGCATATTCCAATAATGCATTGCTCTAATTACCACCTTAATTATACACATGTCAGCATTCAATCCAATGTGCAGAAAGCAGTATCTCCAGATACCAGTAGATCATACAGTGGAGTGTCCATTGACACACATTCATATGTTAAACAAAGTCTTGAAAAATTTACTTTAAATCTACAAGCCAGCTAAAAAAGTTAGGAGCCAGATTTTTTTTTTTTTTTTTAAGACTTACAAAGCTTTATATTCAACAACAAAAATACAATTCTTAAAGGGACACTATAGTCACCAGGACCTCTACAGCTTAATGTAGTGGTTCTGGTGTCTACAGCTTGTCCCTGCAGACTTTTTAATGTAAACACTGCCTTTTCAGAGAAAAGGCAGTGTTTACATTGCTTACTAGTGACACCTCTAGTGACCGTCACTCAGACAGGCAACAGAGGTGCTTCCTGTGTCAGTGCTGCACAGTGTGCGCTGAACGCTCCCCATAGAGATGCATTGATTCAATGCATATCTATGAGGAGATGCTGACTGGTGCAGTGTTTTGCAGCTAATCCTATGGGAAAATTTAGGATTGGCTGAGATCATCAAGTTTGATAATCTCAACCATAGAGGCAGGGCAGTCGAGGGGAGATCAGCACAGCATGGGGAAAAAAAGGTGAATAAAAATACCATTCACTTGTGAACGGAAAGGGTCTGGCCACCTAAACGGAAACACACATACCATTACAGAGACAGACACACGCACCATTACAGAGACAGACATACGCACCATGATAGAGACAGACACACGCACATCAGACATGTACAGAGCAGATACCGTTAGTTATATAAAGGCCCATCATGTCCGGTTTGTATAGTAGGTGAATATTATGTGGGCTCAGGAACGTACTCCTCCGATAACCATGGAATGACAAGTGAGCTTGCAGGACCATGGAAAGCAAGGCTAAAGGTCTCACTTCACACCCCAAGATTCTCAGCCAGCATGGAGCATTCACAGTACTCTAAATATATAGTGGAAAAACTGAACATGTGGCCATTGAGCACTAAGTGACAACTTAAGGCCACAATACCTGGCCAGCCACGAGAGCTCCAGACTGGCATAAGACCCTGCACTCCCCACACACCCAGCATCGTAACGCCGGTCCCAGCCAGGGAGCACTATAAATGCAGAACACTTTGTTCCAGCATAGAAGGGCAGGGCAGGCCACAGGCTCTGCATACCCATAGCGCTCACCCGAAACCTGGCTGTTTACAGAGGAAACCACATTAATGGGGCCACAAACAGGATCTGTGAACAGCACAAGAAGAATCCCCAGCGCTCTGTATAGCCGGCACAGTGTACGGCCTGAACAGACTAATGTAAAACTGGGGATCACAGCTGAATATGCTTCTTTTAGGTTCCAATAAACCACAGGAGGAGAAACAAGTACATTCAATTGGATGTGGTGAAAACATTGACACCACTTGTGGTTAGAGCAGGGGAACACATTCCCACGATAACACTATTGCAGTACTATATGGAGCTCTTTGTTTGTTTTACATTTTTAAAACCAAATCTAGAATTCTGTTTTTTTAAACCATTATCGTATCATGTACATCACTATGGATGGAATACCCTACTTAAAGGCTGAGCAGTATGGAAAACAAGGAAGGCCCCTATCGTGCTAAGCCCATAACTCCAGATTTGACTGCAATTTCTGAAGCAGATCCTTGCACAGCTAACGGACACTACAGGACAATGTTTCCAAGTAATTAATAAACTGGTAGTGATGTCCCGAACGGTTCCCAGCGGACTCATCATTGAGTAAACTTTGACCCTGTACCTCACAGTCAGCAGACACATTCCAGCCAATCATCAGCAGACCCTCCCTCCCAGGGTCTGTTGCTGATTGGCTGGAATGTGTCTGCTGACTGTGAGGTACAGGGTCAAAGTTTACTCAATGATGAGCCCGCGGTGAACCGTTCGTGGCGAACCGTTCGGGACATCACTATAAACTGGATCTAAATAGGAGAAAAATAGAAGGATGATTTCTACACCTGAATGTAAACAGATAAAAAGTCATAAACATGTAATCTATGAGATATGAGCCAAATATTGAGGAATTTGTCGAAATCTAAAATTATGTAAATGGACGCTAGCTGGGGGAAGTGTCAGGAAATAGTAGGAGGTGTAGATGAAGGCACAGTCGCCCAGCAGAGATGGTAGGGGCCGTTACAAATACACAGGGGTTTTAATAAACACAGATTCAAGTGAATGCAAAACTGAAATGAAAATTCGGTGCTAAAAACAGACAAAGTCGTGACTATAGTGGAGTTGTCAGCTATTTCTGCCTAAGTTTTGCAGTTCAGTTCCTACAATCCCCAGTTTAGAGATTAACCACTCTCCTGGAATGTTTGTTATTCAACGTGAATTTCATATTTCAGGACAAAATAGCCAAAAACTGGGAAAAAAAAATAAATAAATCTCCAAATGTTCAGCTAATTTGTACTTAAATGTTTAGTTCATTTTGAATTCTCAGTTGTGTGTACAACCCGATCAGTGTTTAAAAACAAACAAACAAACAAAAAACTTTGCAATAAAATGACTTCATATAGCGAGGGTAAAAAAAAACCAAAAAAAAAAAACCCACAAGAATCAAGTCAAATCCCTTTAACTCTAACTATTAATTATTGTCGGAGCTTTACTTTCTGCTGGTGTAGTCGTCATTCCTTGAATAACCCTTTCACTGTCAGACTGAACAGCCGTCATTAACCTGTGTTTTACCTGGGCGATAGATATGAAAATAAAAATGGATCACAGTAAAAACAGAACTTTCCATTATTCTGCCTGTAGAGAAATATTTTACATTATCCTCAGCCGGCCACTAGACTCGAATTAGACTAGAATTGTGGTTTAATACAGGTTTATTCTGTAAACCAGAAATTGGGGAGGAATCAGAAGAAGAAAAAAAATAATAATAAAAAAAAAAAATCGCACATTGAATTTTAAAATATCAGAGCTGGAAAAATTCTTAAACTTTTGCCATTCCTTTGTCTTTTCTCCCCAATTTTAACATTTATTGAATAAAACACATAGATCACAAGAGGTGGAGCCAAAGGCTCGCAATCACTGCATTTATATCACTAATCTACAAAAAAAAAAAACTTAACGAGTCAATAATCTAATGGAAAAGAAAACTCTTCTGATTATACTACACAAAGTCAATATGAGAATGGCTTCCTGCACACTGTGTGGGATTGGCCATCACAGAGGAAAGTGTTTGACTTTCTGTAATAATAATAATAATAATAATAATAATAATTGCTCAGACCAGTCCAGGGCCATGGTTACAGACTGGTTGCTAAAATCTCGGGAATGTTCCTCAAACAAACCCGTTCTCAATGATTTACCTTCTTTCTGGTCGAGCCATTCTTGGACAGACAAGACTTGGACAGTGAGAGGTATCCACCAATGACCTGGATCTCATCCACGGTGGGATACCGCTTTTTGAGCAAAGCTCCAAGTTCAGAATAAGGTGCTTCATTCCCATCAGAAGGCTTTCTTTTAGACCGGCTTTCATCATCGTCCTCTTCTTCAATGACAGGTGTTCTAAAGGCCTCCTGCTCGGTTATTGGCTTCCTTTTGGGGACCACCGTGAACGTATTCCCGACTTTATTGCGGACAGAGGACAGCGAAGCGTGAGGGCGATAAGAAGGCACAGATGAATCTGTTCCTTTCACGTCTGCTTTGTTTTCTTGACTTAGCTCTCCAACATCATTAGTGACTACATCATCAATATTTGTGACGGGAATATCAGATTTAATAACACCCTCGTGTATTTTAGTGACAGGTAAGACATCCTTTCTTTTGTCATGTTGAACACTACTAATGTACTCCAACTCTGCACCAACATCAGTGAATGAGTGTCCCTCAGTGGCAGAGTGAGCTGGTAAAAGACCACTCTTCCAATCAAAGTCGTAGAGAGCGGGCACTGTAGAAGCCTTCTGTGACTCAGTCTGCTCCAGTCTTTCAACCGGATTAGAAATGTCCCCTATGGCCGAAACACTTTCACCTCCATTTGACAGGATGCCATTTTCATAAGGAGCATCGGTGTAATCCAGCTTGGGACCATTATATATGGAAGCACTATTTTTTACTTTTGGCCTGTTGATCGAAGACTGCATGGCAGTATCATGTTTTGGTGCAGAAGGGGCCTGCCTCTTCTTTGGAACAAAAACAAAAGAGTTTTTGGACTGCATTCGGATGTTTGCGAGTGCCTTAGCCTGGATGTCATTTTCTCCGATGTTCGTCATGTCTGGTTTTGGAGCTGGCCTGATCTCAAAAGAGTCATTGGTGCTAGTTGAGGCAGACACTCTCTTTTGCTGGTTTGGAGTGGCACTGCTGGAAGCTGGGTCACAGTGGTTGTACGATGAACACAAACCTGATTTAGTGGCACTGGATTCAGGGGGAATAATTGGTCTAGCATGGTCTACCTCACACTTTGGCCCCCAGCTTTTGGCCCCAAGGGAGAGCTCACTGGAAGAAACACTTGCAGTAGATGGCACTTGCCCACTTCCCTCAGATACCTTGTAGCCCCTGCTTCTTCTGCTTTTAGAAAGAAGGTCTTCTATTTTTACAGAGCCATCTGCCTTAGCACTTACATTGGACTGGTCAATATGACCATTCGTAAGAGTCGGGCTTTCTTTTGCCTGGCTTCCACTAGTTTCAGGTCTGGTAGAATTCCAAGATGTGGCTTTTGGGTTGATGACAATTGTATTTCTACCAGTCTTCTGGGACGCAGTCATAAACTTGGACAAAGGTAAATTGTTTTGTGAGGAGCCCACTTCAAACTTTTCAATAAAAGATGCCACCACAGGTGACACACTCTTCTCATCTGTGGAGGTCTCGTAATGAGGCGATAGTGGACCTACCACCAGAGGGGTTGTGGAAACAGGTGAAACTACTGCAGGTGGAGATATGGGACTGGCAGGTCTTTTATGAAACAAACCAGGGTCAGGGATAGAGTGGACAATTGGTGGTTTGGAAGGTAACCATGAAGGATTGTTTAAGGGAAACCGTTTACTGTCCTCATCTAAAAAAGAGGAAGATGAAGGCGATATCTCCCCAGACCGCTTAGCCGCCTTGTTCACGGGTGCTTGGCTTTGCCGCTCAATGATAATAGGCTTTGGCAACATGGCGGGCTTACGGTGTGAGGGGTGAGAGTCTCTATCAAGCAGATTTTCCCAGCTCCTGGTTCGCACAGGTTTACTGTGGCCCTGGTCAAACTTCTCCAGCAGTCTGCTCACCCTGCCAGCCTCTTCCAACACAACATTGTCCTCCTGGCCTAGAGAAACTGACTCATTGACCTTCATGGAAGGGTCAGGCTCGTAAATGACCACCTCAGAGGCTCTAATCTCTGTCACTTTGCTGCCCCTTTTGGCCAGCAGCTCCTCCATTGGGTCACGGTGATGTTTGATCCCTGTGTTCTCCTCTGCGGAGGTCCTGCCGAAGTAGCCGGGGTCAGACTCGATGATGATGATGTTCTCAGCCCTGATGGTTCTGATGCCTGGTACATTGCTGTACATGTCCAGCAAGTGCCGAATAGGAGAGGTTTGCCGTTGGCTCCTGCCTGGGGAGTGCTGGGGGCCCCGCCTGCGCCGTCGCTCTTTCTCCAACTTGATAAAAGGGTTTTCATGAAGGGGCCCTAGGCTGTCCTGCAGCACCAAAGTCTCTGTAGGGCCCCGCTCCTGGGACCGGCCTCTCTTGGGGGACCCTTCCCTGGCTGGGGGCAGACTGCCCATCTTTGCCCGCTTCCTCTCCAGCACCTCCAGCTTCCAGGCAGGCATGTTCCCAGACTCCAGTCCCGGCCGTGCCCAGCTCATGCTACTCCCACCACTCACAGCCATACTTGGTCTGTGCTGCTTTCACTGGCTCAGCTTCTCAGCAGCGCCAGCTCCTCAAACTCTGCTCCAGCTCCTCAGACTCTGCTCCAGCTCCTCAGACTCTGCTCCAGCTCCTCAGACTCAGCTCCAGCTCCTCAGACTCAGCTCCAGCTCCACAGACTCAGCTCCAGCTCCACGGACTCAGCTCCAGCTCCTCAGACTCTGCTCCAGCTCCTCAGACTCAGCTCCAGCTCCTCAGACTCAGCTCCAGCTCCACAGACTCAGCTCCAGCTCCTCAGACTCAGCTCCAGCTCCACAGACTCAGCTCCAGCTCCACAGACTCAGCTCCTCAGCTCCAGCTCCTCAGACTCTGCTCCTCAGCGCCAGCTCCTCAGACTCAGCTCCAGCTCCTCAGACTCTCCGGTTCCTGAGACACTGGCTCCGCTTGGCTCCAGCAGCCTGTCTGTCTCTGTCTCTGTCTGTGTCTGTGTCTCTGTGTCTGTGTCTCTGTGTCTCTGTGTCTCTCCGGCTCTGCCCGGCCGCCGGCAGCTCCGCTCACTGACTGACTGACTGAGTGCGCGCACAGAGTACTTCAGACAGCCACGCCCACAGCCACACCCACAGCTCTCTGACTGGAGGAAGCGCTGACAGGGGAGCACTGAGCCCGCCCATGCCACGCCTCCTGAGTGACAGGCCCACATTAAACCCGCCCGTTTATGGACACCTGGGAGGAAGAAGGACATTGAGCCCGCCCACTGAGCACTTTAACCACGCCTCTCCCGCACTGACAGACGGAGTCCATAAACCTGTCAGAGGAGACTCCGCCCACCCACGGGGCTTGTCCCGCGCTCACAGCGAGGCTTGGAACGCAAATACTCCCACCTCCCTGCACGCGGACTGTCAGAGCTGCCCGGGGTCCTCCCAGCATGCTCCGCGGCTAGCACGGCTCGTTCAATGACAGTCAGGTAACCATAGCAACAGCACC